CTTCTATACTGAGTAGCCCCAAAGGCAGTGAACACTTGCATCACTTATTAGGACTTGTACAGTTCCGTATTAAGGACTTGACACTTTGACACCGCTCTTGTTAGCATAAACCCCTCCGTGTACTTAGGAATCTTCGGATTGCTGCAGTGCTCATTACAGTAATCTTTCCATTTGATAAGGTATTCCCTCGTGCTGTCTATGCTTCTATGCTTAAGGATTTTCTCCATCTCATACTCTGGTTTATTGTTTTCTATTTCTGCTATATTATTCATTAATATTTTCTATGCTGCTGATTTCAGCAGTAAGATATAAAAAACTGAATATATTCTTATTCCATAAGATAATGCTAACTCATAATTAATTAGGAAAATCTGCTGCAAGATTTTGAATGGTTCTAACTTCTTGTAATCAAATTTGTTACTGAATCTAGTTATTTTAATATTTTTTCGAAATAAGTAGATCTTATCTTCTTTCTATAGGATTGGTTCCTTAATTCTTTTGGAGTTTGTATATTATATTATTCATTTCTGAATGAATTGTAATTCTAACTGAAGTTTTTTCTGAACTTTCTTAATTCTTTTAATTCTTTTGTTTGCAGCTTTTGCATCTGCTTCTAGCAATGCTTTATAATAAGCTATTGAATTATATTTGTAAAGTATAAAGAATAATAATTTCTTTATTGTATTCGTATTTATACTATTATAAGCAAACTATATAAGAAATAATAGATTAATCTAGTTATTCTATTTCTAATTAATATAATATTAAAGATACTATTTAATAATCTGATTTATTCTTTTTGTTTATTCATCTATTTGCAGATGAAATGCTATAGATATTCTATAATATATTCTAAGCTATTTTATAAGCAAAGTTTAAAACTTTGAATTAAACTTTCTATTTCTATTAGAAATTACTTCTTCTAATATGCTATAATTAGCAATAATCATTCTGAGAAATGCATATACAAGTTTCTCTGCTATACTGCTTTTCTTATAAGAGAGAAAGTAAGCATACTTACTTAGTTTGCAAATTATTACTAGAATGCTATTATATTATACTTTAGTTAAGAGTTCTTATAAGAGAGATAGCTTAATAATAAAGTTTAGACTAATGAATTGCTAAATAGTTATAGATATTAATAAGAAATGCAGTAGCTTATAAAGCTTATATCTTTCTGCTTTATTCTTCTTATAGCTGTTGCATTATTATAAGATATTCTTAATTCTTTTTCTAAAGCTTAATAAATTCTAATATCTTCTAATATATTCATAGATTGCTTTAATTCTCTGATATTCATATACTGATATACTATATATATTCTTAATATAGTTATTTTATTTGTTTAGAGTTATTAATTCTGAATTCTTTTCCGAGAATTCAATTCTGAAGGCAGCATTTAGCTCTCTATATGCATTAACAAGATTTTCCAACTCGTTTTAAGCAAAGATGTTCTATATATCTGAGAAATCCATATCTTAATAATCTAATCTTCTGCTAAAAGTATCTACTTATTCATTTTCTAAGCTTTTGCAGTATACAATTCTGAAATTGAATTATAAGAGAAATTCTGCTTATCTAACTTATTACTTATTTAAAATCTTGATTATTATGAATATAATTAGATTCTTGTAATCTAAATGAATTATAATCGGATATTATGCGCTAATAAAGTAGTATTGCTATTTCTCGAAAGCTTTTATTATTGCTATAAGTTTCTGATTAGGAATTCTGTAATTGATTTCTGAGCTATTTAACTTCTTCGAAAAGTTGCTTATAATCCTTAAATGCTCTTAATTATCTTATTAACTAAGTTATTCTCCAAGTATATATTCTGATGCATCAGTTTCAATTTCAAAAGGTTTATAAGAATCTACTTTATATAGAATTAGCTCTGAGATAATATATCTGATAATTCCATTGAAAGCTTCTTATATCTTAGAAGTTTATTCGAAAAGCTGCTCCTTTTTAGTAAGATTTATAAAAGAATATGCAATTCAGCTGTAGTTCTTAATAAACTGCTTATAGAAGTTAATATATTTAAGAAAAAATCTAATATTTCTAATATTCCTAAGAACTAGCTAATTTCTAATAGCTTCTATCTTATCTTTCTGTAGCTTGATATATTCTGGTTTGATTATGAATTCGAGATAATTAACTTTTTGTATATAAAAGTAACTTTTTGCAGGTTTTATAAAAAGTTTTACATTTTAAAGTATTTACAATACTGTTTCCATATATTCCTTGTATTCTTTTAGTATTTGAGAATAAATAAGAATGTTGTTAAGATATGCAATAATAAACTGATTCAGATGCTTATATAGAATGTAATTAATCATTTCCTAAAATGAAGCTAAAGCATTTGTTAAACTGAAGAGCATAATCAAATATTCGTAGTATCTATAATATATTCTGAAAGTAATCTTTCATTCTTCTTCTTTCTTTATTCTAATTAGATTATAAGCTTCTTTTAGATTTAGAGCTATAAACTACTATACTTCTTGTAATCTATCTTGCAGTTCTTTGATAAGTAATAACAAATATCAGTTCTTAATTGTAATATTATTAAGTTGCTTATAATCAATGCATAGCTTAAGCTTGCTATTCTTTTTAGATATAAATAGAATGGAATATTCTACTGATGATTGCAATGATTATATATATTTCTTTTTGAGATTTTTGTTGAGATATTCCCTAAGCATCTCTAGTTATACTTTATCTAATCTGTAGATAAGAAAGAATTTGAGCTGTTTTCCTTCTTATAGTGGGATCTTGTAATTATATAAATTGTATTCTAGCAGTTTTGTATTCAGTTCTTCTTGAAATAGTTTCTTAAATTTATAGTATTTTCGTAATATGCTTGCGAGTATTGATTCTGGTTTATATACTGTTTCTGCTATCTGGAGGAATAGTAGGTACTGTTGAGCGTGCTTCTTTTCATCTGTTGTTTTTAGTGATGTTTTTGAGAGCTTTGAGCGTTCGCTCCGGGCTGGACTGACTGCTCGAGGGCCTGGTTTCACGGTTTTTGTATGAATCTACAATTCACATTCTGAAGCTTTTCCTTGTTGCTTCAGAGCTAACCAACTTGCTGAGGGTCTCGCTTCCGTTGTTCTGCTAATCTGTTAGCGCTCTAGCACTATTTGGGTTCGCCTGTTACTAGATTCTTCTCCTTGAGCTGCTAGCCCTGCTGGCTTAGAAGTATATATGAAGTTGTATAAAGCTTCTTTTCCTGAGTGTTCTTTAGCAACTAACTTCCATCCTGCATTATTGATTGCAACTATCTCTCTGGGTATAGCTTGTTCTCATGAGATCTGGCCAGTAGTTCAATCGATTCGAAGATTGTGCTCCTTGAGCTATGAAAGTTTTATAATTAGCTTATGCTATATTATATCTGTAATATTAAAGGAAATCTTGGTTATATATTCTTGGATTAAAATAAATAGATAATTAGTTTCCTTATTGATTACTTCTTGGTTATATGTAACAGATTGTTCTTTTATAGTGCTGAGAATGTATGATTGCTTCTTTCATTTCTATTGTAGTTATGCTTGATTGATGATATATGGAGATATAAAGTTTCTCTGAGCATTACTATTTAATAGTGCGCTATACTTGTATTCTCAAATATATATATCGAGCTTAATGTAAGCATAGTCTGTTTTGAAAGCTTTATATAGAAACTATTTCAGTCTGATTGTCTGCAGTTTCTTTACAAGCAATCTTAGCCTTTTGAGATTGCTAAGAGCTGCTTGCTCTTTCTTTAAGCTTGCTTTTGCTTGTATTATTATTATTTCTAATCTTTCTTCTATTAATGCTAGTTGCAAACTTTATCGTTAATATGAATTATATAGAGCATTGTTCTACATTGCTATCATTCTATTTTCTTGTTCATACATTGCTTAAAGCAGTTATCTAGCAGTCCAATATATGCATTGTTATGCTGCTTATTGAGAACTTTCCTGAAGCAAAGCTCTTGCTCTTCAACAGCTTAAAGGATTTATTCTGATTCTCTAATAAAGAACTATTCGTATTATACTTTTTCTGAGAAGTATATTCTGCAGTGTTATGACCCATCCAACATGCAGGTTACAGGATAAGCCCCACCAACCAAGGGACCAGATATCACGACCCAACAGCTGGTACCAATCAGGATTATGTAACCCGGATTAGGGTTGCTAGCGCGACTATGTTAGCTATGGACATAGTCAACATATTCGGAGAAATAACTATGAGGAATCATAACATAGTTAGGATAGTCAGAACTGAAGAGCTGGATATATAAGAACACGTTCATTACCATTAGATAGATTCAGTATATAGCTTTTTAGTTGTTAATCTAAGTATTCAGTTTTATATACTGAGTAGCTCTAAAGGCAGTGAATACTTACATCGCTTATTAGAACTTGTACGGTTCTGTATTCAAGAACTTGATACTTTGATACTGCTCTTGTTAGTATAAACCCCTTCGTATACTTAGGAATCTTCGGATTGCTGCAGTGCTCATTACATTTTGACAACTCTTGTTCAAGAACGGTTCAGTATTATCCTCTTGAGCAATACGGAATACGATAGCTCCTCCAGGAACCCCTTCGTTCTCGCGCGTCCCTACTCAGGAAGAACTAGTTAATCAGGTATATCAGCTTATCCAGCGTATCCAGGATCTGTGCGAACAATAGCAGGCTCAGAGCGCTACTATCGCTAACCAACAGGCTCAGCTAGCTCAACAGGCTTAGCAGGCGCAGTCTATCTCTGCAACTACCAGTGGCGCTGGAAAAGCATACAAGATGAATAAGCTTGCTATATATAATAGCAATCAAAAGATGCTACATGGATTCCTTACCCACTGTAGAGCATATTTCCTGCATTATAGAACTCAGTTTATCAAGAAATCTAAGAAAGTTATTCTTGCAGAAACTTATTTCGAAAAGAATGCTCTTATCTAATACAAGCCTTCTCTATATAACTACTTGAAGCATTAGAATAACTCTAACGCATATACCCAGAGTATTAAGAATATATTCGATTCTTTTGAAAGCTTCGAGAAAGCTCTCAAGAAAACCTTTAATAATTCCAATAAAGAACATATTATAGCTCAGCAGCTTATAAACTTCAAGCAGATTAAGTCAGCTTCTGCTTATATAGTTAGATTCAAACAGCTCTTAGCAAGATTTCTATAAGAAGATAAGAATCTTATAAAATACTATTATAAGAAACTCAAGAATAATATTAAAGATGAAATCTCTAAGCAGAATTAGCTGGAGAACTTCGCAATATTCTCTAATCAAGCTATCTGCATCGATAACCATCTGTATAAACAACGAGTAAAGAAGTTCAAGAAAGAAGAAAGCTAAACTTGAAGATTTTCAGCTAATACGAACAAGAAACTCCAAAACAGAAATAGCAATCAGTATAGCAGCACAGCCTAGAGCAGCACTATGCATGCTGATCTTATGAAACTTAATGCTGCTAATAAGCAGTATAGCAAGAGAAACAGTATTACTTGCTACAACTGCAACAAATAAGAATATATTGCATACAACTGCTATTAATCTTGGAAAAACAAATAGCAATCAGTTCAGGAAGAACGCCAGATGAATATTGCCTGATGATAGAAATCCAATCAATTAAGCAAAAACATCTTCTCGAAGTAAGTATTGAACTCTATTGATCACAGAAGTCTTAGCTGAACATTCTGCTATAATAATAACTGCTTAATATATCTCTCGAGTAAAGAAGATTCAGAATGATTCTCTCAGAAACCTAGATACTGCAAACAAATAGCAATAGCAGAACGAGAATGCATGCCTAGCATCCCTATGAGTAGCAACTTGGACTGCTCTGATATCATGGAACAGAGTATTCAAGCGTTGGAAGAAGGGCTTAGCAACGATATTCTTCAACGATCTTTATTGCTTATGCTAAGCACTATAACCAGGGATATGAATAAGGAATAATACCCTCTTGATTACTGATATAAATACATGAACGATACTGAAAATGCTTCTTAAGCAACAGAAGAATCAAATTAGAATAGACAGCTCAACGATTCACTAGAATCTCCTGTAAACAATGAATCCAAGAAACCTACAGAAAGGTTTCCCTTCGGTATTGAGTAGAACAAGGAAATAATATAGATTGAATATCTCGTTTATAGAATAGAACTAGAGAAGCTCTTCACTTATATTCCCTTGCAAAACATTGAAGCATAAGAAAACAAGAATTCTCGAATCAGCTTACTCTACAATCTATATTACAAACTAGCATAAATCTTCTATACCTATCATAGTTGCAGAATGCATTTCTCAAACAAGATACAATACAAATAGTTCTCTATCAGAGAATCAGAACAAATCCTTCAAGCTATTAAAGAATAGAAACTTCGCTTTAGGAAGATTCTCAATAAGCAATATTACAATGTATACATCAGGCTATCGAATAATTACTCCATACAATACATAAACAAGAAGATAGAATAATAGCAGTGCAAGATAATACTCTGTATGATTTATATCAATAACAAAGTTTGCAACTAGCATTAATAAAAGAAAAGCTAGGAATAATGATAATATAAGCAAAGGCAAGCTAAGAAGCTTGCTTGAGAAGCAGCAAAATAAGCTCAGAAGAACAAATAGTTCTTAATGAATTTAAAAGAATAGAATTGCTTATAAAGAGATTACAGATGATTAAATCAGAATAGTTTCTATATAAAGCTTCTAGAACAGATTATGCTTACATCAAGTTCAATATATATATTCAAGAATATAAATACAGCATACTATTGAATAGTAATGCTCAGAAAAACTTCATATTCCTATATATTATCAATCAGATATAACTACAATGGAGATGGAAGAGATGTTCATATACTCTCAGTACTGTGGAAGGATAATCTGTTGTATACAATTAAGGAGTAATCGATAAGGAAACTGATTATCTATCTGTTTTGATTCAAGAATGCATAACTAGAGCTTCCTTTGATATCACGGATATAGCATAGCATGAGCTGATTATAGAGCTTCCATAGCTCAAGAAGCATAATCCTCGAATTGATTGGACTACTAGCTAGATCTCATGGGAACAAGCTGTACTCAGAGAGATAGTTACAATTAATAGCGCAGGATCGAAGCTAGTGATTGAAGAATACTCAGGAAAAGAAGCTTTATACAACTTCCTACATACCTTCAAGTCAGCAGGGCTAGCAGTTCAAGGAAAAGAATCTAGTAACAAGCGAACCCAAACAATGCTAGAGCGCTAACAGGTTAGCAAAACAACGGAAGCGAGACTCTCAGCAAGTCGGTCCGCTCCGGAGCAACAAGGAAAAGCTTCAGAAAGTGGATTGTGGGTTCACACAGGAAAAACCTCGAAACCAGGCCCTCGAGCGCTCGGTTCGGCCCGGAGCGAACGCTCAAGGCCCTCGAAAACGCCATCGAAAAAGAAGCACGCTCAACAGTACCTACTGTTCCTCCAGATAGCAGAAACAGCACAGGAATCAGAACTAATACTTGCGAACATATTATAAGAATATCATAAGTTCAAGAAACTGTTTCAGAAAGAATTGAATACAGGATTGCCAGAATACAGCTCATACAATTACAAGATCCTGCTACAAGAAGAGAAACAGCTCAAATTCTTTCCTATCTACGGACTAAATAAGGCATAGCTAGAGATACTTAGGGAATACCTCGATGAAAACCTTAAGAAAGGATATATATAACTATTGCAATCATCAGCAGAATATCTCATCCTGTTTGTATCTAAGAAAAACAGCAAGCTTAGGCTATATATTGATTACAAGCAATTCAACGATATTATAATTAAGAATCAATATCCATTGCTACTTATCAAGGAATTACGAGATAGGCTGCAAGAAGCATAGTAATTCACAGTTCTGAATCTGAAAGAAGCTTATAATCTGATTAGAGTAAAGAAAGGAAAAGAATGGAAAACTGCTTTCCGAATATACTATAGATACTACGAATATTTGGTTATGCTTTTTAGTCTAATGAATGCTCCAGCTTCATTTCAGAAGATGATTAATTACATTCTATATAAGCATCTGAATCAGTTCATTATTATCTATCTTGACAATATTCTTATTTACTCTCAAACATTGAAAGAATACAAGAAATACATGGAAATAGTATTGCAAACGCTTCAAGATGCAAAGCTTCTTGTAGAACTTGCAAAGAGCTACTTTCATATACAAAAAGTTGACTACCTCGGATTCACAATCAAGCTGGAATGCATCAAGCTACAGAAGGATAAGGTAGAAGCTATTAGAAACTAATTAGTTCTCAGAAATATTAGGGATATTAGATCTTTTCTCGGATATATCAACTTTTACAAGCAGTTCATTAAGAACTATAGCTGAATTGCACATTTTCTTACAAATCTTACCAAAAAGAAGTAGCTCTTCAAGTAGATTTCTAAGGCATAAGAAGCCTTTGATGAGATTATTGAATATATTATCTTAGAACTAATTCTGTATGAAGCAGATCTCTATAAATTCTTTGAAATTGAGATTAATGCATTAGAATATATACTTGAAGAACAATTTAGTTAACGAGATAACTAAGAGCGTTTAAGAATTATAAGCAACTTCTCAAAGAAGTTGAATAGCTTAGAAATTAACTACAGAATCCCTAATCAGAAACTCATAGCAATAGTGAAAGCTTTCAAAAAATAGCAATACTATCTTATTAGCGCATAATATCCGATTATAGTTCACTCGAATTACAAGAATTTAACTATATTTATAATAATTAAGATTTTGAATAAGTAATAAATCAGATAAGCAGAATTCCTCTTATAATTCGATTTCAAGATTGTATACTGCAAAAGCTCGGAAAACGAATAAGTAAATACTTTCAGCAGAAGATCAGATTATCGAAATACAGATTCTTTAGATATATAGAACATCTTTGCTCAAGATAAATCAGGAAATCTCATCAATGCATATAGAGAACTAAATGCTGCTCTCAGAATCGAACTCTCGGAAAAGAATTCAGAATCAATAATTCCAAACGAACAAAATAACTATATTAAGAATATATACAATGCACTAGCATACAAGTATTAGAGAATTAGAGCAATCTATAAATGCATTAAAAAATACTGAAACTTATTAGATCTTAGGAAAAGAATTGAAAGCATTTTATAACAATATAATAGCTGCAAGAAGAATAAAGCAAAAAGATATAAGTCTTACAAATTACTGCATTCCTTACTAGTATTTATAATTGTTTAGCAATTCATCAGTCTAGACTTCATTATCAAGCTACTTCTCTTATAAGAACTCTTAATTAAGATGCAATACAATAGCATTCTAGTAGTAATTTGCAGACTGAGCAAGTATGCTTATTTTCTCTTCTATAAGGAAAGCAGTATAGTAGAGAAACTTGCATATGCATTTCTTAGAATGATCATTACTAACTATAGCATGCTAGAGGAAGTAATTTCCAATAAAGATAGAAAGTTCAATTCAAAGTTTTGAACTTCGCTTATAAAACAGCTCAGAATATATTACAGAATGTTTATAGCATTTTACTTACAAATAGATGAATAGATGAAAAGAATGAATTAAGTTGTTAAATAGTACTTATAATACTATATCAACTAGGAACAGAATAACTGAATTAATCTATTGCTTCTTGCATAGTTCGCTTATAATAGCGCAGATACGAGCACAACGAAGAAATCGCTATTCTTCGTACTCTATAGATACAACTCAATAGCTTACTATAAAGCACTGCTAGAAGCGAATATAGAAGCTACAGATAAGAGAATCAAGAAGATTAAGAAAGTTTAGAAGAAATTCCGATTAGAATTATAATTCGTTTAAGAACGAATGATGCAGTATGCAAACTCCAAAAGGATTAAGAGATCAATCCTATAGAAGAGAGATAAGGTTTATCTACTTCGAAAAAACATTAAAACAACTAAATCCAGCAGCAAGCTCGATTATAAGAAGTTAGAACTATTCAAAATCTTGCAACAGATTTCTCCAGTTAACTACGAACTCGTACTATCTTACGGAATAAGAATACACTTGGTTTTTCACATCTTACTGCTAGAACCAGCAGCAAAGGAAATACTAATAGATGATACAGTGGAAGTTGAAGATAACAAACCAGAATACGAGGTGGAAAAAATCCTTAAGCACAGAAGCACAGATAATACAAAGGAATACCTCATCAAGTGGAAAGGTTACTCAGCAAGTGAAAATTCATGAGAACTACGGGGGAACGTTGAAAACGCTCAGGAAAAGGTAGCTGAATATTGGAAAAGGAAAGCCAGCACCTAAGACGATCGCTCCGCCCCGAACCGAAATCCAGGAACCTCGGGAATCTCACTCTCCAGAAAGCTCAACCAATCTATCACAGAACCTTCCAAATCTACAGAATTCCAGTTGAAACCTTCAAAAGAAGAATCCCCAGCTATAACAGCAGACTCCTCTGCTACTACAGCTTGCATTTCAGCAGCAATATGTATCCTCTCAGCCTCAGCCTCCTCAGCCTCTACGCAATCCAATTCCTCTATATGAGTAATACTACAACGCAGAGCACGTTTCATCTTCTCGGATCACATCCGCTTCTATTAGCGCAGACAGAGAAGCTCGATTTTCCTCTTCTCAATCTCGTTCTCCAACTTTCGATGTTGAATAGCGATATTGCGAAGCTTCTCGGGGGAAGAGCTTATAACATTGCATTTGGAGCAGCCCAGTCGAATGCATTCAATGCACCGAGAAGAGTCTCCGGGAAATACCTTGCAGAACTCGAAACTACAATCCTCGCAATAGGAACAGACAGGCATCTCAATAAAATTTTCCAGAAGGCGGGAAACTAAGAGATCTCGATCTTGGATACTCTTTGGAACAGAAGAAGGTTTGCAAATACGGGATTTGTTGATTCTGTTCAATATCTCAATCAGGAAGGCAAGATCATGCATACGAAGGACTTGCTAGGATACTTATAGAAGATTGTTGAGGATAACGACTGATAGGAGGGAGATGATGTTATGATCCATCCAACATGCAGATTACAGAATAAGCTCTACTAACCAAGGAATCAGATATCATGATCCAACAGCTGATACTAATCAGGATTATATAACCCGGGTTAGGATTGCTAGCGCGATTATATTAGCTATAGATATAGTCAACATATTCGGAGAAATGACTATGAGGAATCATAACATAGTCAGGATAGTTAGAACTGAAGAGCTGGATATATAAGAACACGTTCATTACCATTAGATGGATTCAGTACATAGCTCTTCAGTTGTCAATCTAAGTATTCAGTTTTATACACTGAGTAGCCCCAAAGGCAGTGAACACTTGCATTGCTTATTAGGACTTGTACGGTTCCGTATTCAAGGACTTGATACTTTGACACCGCTCTTGTTAGCATAAACCCCTTCGTGTACTTAGGAATCTTCGGATTGCTGCAGTGCTCATTACATGCAGCTATAATAAGCACAGAAGATTCATGCTAGCTCGTAGTATAGATTGTAGAGTAAGCTGATTCGAGAATTCTTGTTTTGTTGCATCTTGATGTTTTGCAAGAGAATGCTAATAAAGAGCTCTTTCAGCTCTATCTTATAAATGAGATATTCGATCTATATTGTTTCTTTATTTCATTTAATGCTGAAGGGAAATCTTCTCTTTCGAACTTTCGTAGGGTTGCTGAGTTTGTTGTTTGCAGGAGACTCTGGTAGATTGCTAGATCATTCGCTCTGACTTAATTCTTCTGTTGCTTGAGAAGTGTAATGAGCACTGCAGCAATCCGAAGATTCCAAAGTACACAAAGGGGGTTTATGCTAACAAGAGCGGTGTCAAAGTGCCAAGTCCTTGAATACGGAACCGTACAAGTCTCAGTAAGCGATGCAAGTATTCACTGCCTTTGGGGCTATCAGAGTAGAGAGTAATCTGATACTTAGATTGACAACTGAAGAGCTATGTACTGAATCCGTCTAATGGTAATGACCGTGTCCTTATATATTCAGCTCTTTGGTATGGATCACTGTCTGGCAGCGCCCCGCGGATCACTGCGGTGATCCGGGTGAGCCTAGTGAGCCGTGCTCCTGGTGCTCCTAGTGATCCATCCCTGTCTCCTTCCTAGGTTATGTAATCAATGCTTTGTCAGAACGTTGGGTTCTTGACACCTGGTCCTTGTTACTCGTGACCTGTTTTGTGACCTGCATGTTGGATGGGTCATAACAAGAAGCGTTTTCAGTATTATTTAGATACTTGTGCTAATAGCTAAGGAGATATCATCCCTTGTTTATATCTCTGATTATAATATTTAGTATAAGCAATAAGGAATGATAAAGAGTATTGTTACTAAGTTCTTCTTTCAACATTTGAATACTTTGTTTAGTAATATTAAAGCAGTTCGAGTTGTTGCTGCTTGTAGTTATGCTGAATGTATACTCTCGCCTTTCTATCGCTATTTGCCTATAGCGCTTAGATTTTTAAGAGAATTATTCTGAGCTTTTCTTACTTAAGAGATGTATTAAGCAGTTATTATTATAGCAGAATATTCAGCTGAAATCTCTATAATCAATAGAATTCAATACTTACTCTGAAAGAATGTTTTTGCTTAGTTGATTAAATTCCTATTATTAAGCAATGTTTATTTAGTATTCTTTCTGAACTAATTGCTATTTATTCTTTCGAGATTAATAGCAATTGCATGCTATATATTTCTATTTATTGCAGTTGTAGTAAGTAATGCTGTTTCTCTTGCTATACTGCTTGTTAGCTGTATTGAGTTCTATAAGACTAGCATGCATAGTGCTGCTCTGAGCTGTACTGCTCTATTAATTGCTATTTTTATATTAGAGTTTCTTGCTTATATTAGCTGGAAATCTTCAAATTTAGCTTCCTTTCTTCTTAGATTTCTTTATTTATTATTCATATAAACAGTTATTAATGCAGATTGCTTAATTAGAAAATATTACAAAATTCTCTAGCTAATTCTGCTTAAAGATTTTATTCTTAATATTATTCTTAAATTCCTTATAATAATATTCTATAAGATTCTTATCTTCTTATGAAAGTCTTGCTAAGAATTGCTTGAATCTGATTATATAAGCAGAAGCTAATTTAGTTTGTTTAAGATTTATAAGCTGCTAAGCTGTAGTATATTCTTTATTGAAATTGCTAAAGATTTTCTTAAGAGCTTTTTCAAAGCTTGCAAAGAAATCAAATATATTCTTAGTATTCTGAGTATATATATTGGAATTGTTCTGATACTTTAGATAATTGTATAGAGAAAGCTTATATTAGATGAAAATATTCTTTTTAAAATGAATCTCTGCAAGAATAACTTTCTCAGATTCCTTAGTAAACTAAGTTATATAATACAAAAAGTATACTCTATAGTAAATAAGAAACTTATATAGTATTTTTTAATTGCTATTATATATAGCAAGCTTGTTTATCTTGTATGCTTTTTCAGCATTGCTAGTGATTGTAGAAGTGAACTGCGCCTGCTGAATATGCTAAGCTAGCTAAGCTTGCTAGTTAGCAATAGTAGCGCTCTGAGTCTGCTGTTGATTATACAGATTCTAAATATGCTAGATAAGCTAATACACCTGATTAACTAGTTCTTCCTAAGTAAAAGCATACGAGAACAAAGAAGTTCTCTGAAGAGCTATCATATTCCGTATTGCTCAAGAGAGTAATACTGAATCATTCTTGAACAAGAATTATTAAAATATAATAAATACTACAGCAATCTGAAGATTCCAAAGTATATAAGGAGTTTATGCTAATAAGAGCAGTATCGAAGTATTAAGTTCTTAAATACAGAATTATACAAGTTTTGATAAGCAATACAAATATTTACTGCCTTTGAAGCTACTCAGTATATAAGACTGAATACTTAGATTGATAACTGAAGAGCTATATACTGAATCTATCTAATGGTAATGAATGTGTTCTTATATATCCAGCTTTTCAGTATAGCTCACCTTGGCTTACTACTGATTCAGGTGATCCAGCTCATTGGATCATCTAATGATCCAATGATCCATCCCTGTTGTATTCCTAATCCCGAGTTATGTAATCGATGCTTTGTTAGAACGTTAGGTTCTTGACACCTGGTCCTTGCTACTCGTGACCTGTTTCGTGACCTGCATGTTGGATGGGTCATAACACAGCAGTATTCATCAACTTGGCCAGATTCTCTTCCGGATCCTAGTTCTAGCTGTTATTACCTCTATCGACAGGGTAATGTTTTTCACCTAGAGCCTGGATCGTACCAAGATCGAGTGAATCTCCGGGAAAAAAGCAAGCATAATGTAAATAGTTGTGTTACAACGTCGCCACCGGGCCTTCCGAGCGCCTCTAGATCATCGCACTCTGCCTCAGCTCCAAACCTAGCAACCCTTGGCCTTTCCTCTTCAGCCCCCTGCATCCATCCTAAGAGCCAACGCCAAAGGAACCGAAACCAACAATCGCCTGAACGCCGTCGCAGTGCTCGGATTATAGAGCGTTCAAACATGCAGGCCGATACACATACAGCTAGGGGAGGAGAGGAGGCGTGGAGGAAGAGGGGAGGAAGAGAGGAGGGAGGCGTGGAGAGGAGGTTGTGCTTCAGAGAAAAGAAAAGAGGGAATAGGATTAAAATAACAAAGCCACCCAAGGGACTCCAGGGCGGGAACGACCTGGGGTTGGGGCGGGGCAGCAGCAATAACCAAAAACAATACTAGCGCGGGAAGGGGGCACCACGGCAACGAGCCGCACCACAGCACAGGGCGGAACCGACACGCGACAAAAACAACACAGGGGGCGCCCTGCTACCTGCACGAACCACAGGGGGGACTGCGGAGGGCAATGAGGAGGAGGCTATGTCAAGGGCTTAATCCCGTGGCTCAAATACTGGAGCCCCAAACAGACAGCGCGATTCTAAAAATAGGGGGTTCTTATCTTATTCAATTAGGATTAGGGTAAGATATTTCCTTGGAAAAGGGGGAAAGGGCGGGCAATACGCCGGGAATGTTATAGCATCGCGGGCTGGACACGTCAGGATGCGCGTTGCAGTCAAGGCTTATAAAGCTATTACGCTATTTGAGCAATATATTCGCTACTTGTATTTAGCAAAACTGCAAACCAGGACAAAGGGAGGATAGCGCGAATAATCAGCTTGGCTATCTATGCTGTCTTCTATTTTAGCAAATTTTCGTAAAAAGCTGGTGCAAATCAGACACGCCCCAAACAGCAGGTTGTACCGCCCGGCTTGAAAGTGCAACAGCGCGAGTGTGCTAGCTGAGTCATACAGGAGAAACTTGTGGCCCGTGCGTTTTCAATTAGATCTTGTCTGGGTGACTAACAGACTACCGGCCCCCTTCGAAAACATCGACGAAATGCAAGCTCAATCTTCATCACCCTCACCACCTCCACAACTACTGATCCCCACCTCTGCTGCTGTCACCATGGCAGACCTACAGCAGCAAAACCTCATCAAAGATCATCCGATCGGAAAGGGTCTCGATGATTTTCACACCACGTTCAACTCGATCTGCGACAAGGCAGGCATCTCCTGTACACTGGACGCGCTGGAGCAGCTGGGACGAGAAGGCAAGCAGACCAGTTCTTAGCTTGAAATGCCTCTTCTAATACACGAACAGATATGCAAGATCTCATACCAGCTCTTATTCCCAAACTCTGGCAGCTGCCCGTTGCTCGTCTTCTACCTTCCGGGTCAGGCCATGGCATCCTTCGAACCGATTTGATCCGACTGAACTCGGCAGTCAGCTCCGACGCTTTCGATTTCGATAGCATAAAGCCCCTCCTCTGCTCAGTTCTCGAACGCGACTCTGATGAGCGCATCTGGGAACACATCTACTGCCTGATAGCCGATATCCCGTCGCTGCAGCAACCCCCCCCCTCCCAGCCGCAGCGCACCCCGCCGCCGAGACAACCGATTGCAACCTTCCTTGAGCAAACCCCGTGGGTCTATACCACGAGCGGCATAATGAACTCGTCCGAGAAGCGCGAAGAGGTGGATAGAATCCTTAAGCTGGAGCTTGGTCCTCTCTATGTCGATATTCCTTCCTTCAGCGAGACATACTTCGGACAGGTAGCTGGCCTAGAGGCAGGGTCCAAGGCTGTCTTCAAGAAGTGCATGGAGGGCAGCAATCCGCTTTTTGGGCCCGAAGGGTGGCGCAGCTGGCCAGCAATCACATCAGAAAAAAACGTAGTAGCCTGGTTCTACGATCTGTTTCCCCAGCTGGAAGCATTCGCAGAAGCCTGCGGTGCTGCGCCGGCATCTACGCCAGCATCTACGCCGGCATCTACACCGATACCTGCGCCGATACCTCGACGAAAGCTGCTGGTACAACCCAACACGCCGCTCCCAGACTCTGTGGGGAAGCGCAGCATGGACATCGGCTTTGTAAGGGATGACCTCATCACGGCGGCAGAAAGCGGTTCCAGATATCGATGGTCGCACGTTCTCGTGCCAGGCGAGCTGAAGATGGGTCCGTCTGACGATATACCCTCGATCGCGTGGATAAGCATTGCAACATACGCAAGGGAGGTCCTCTCAGCCTGCAGTACTCGCCGCTTCGTTCTAGCCTTTACCCTCTGTGGACCGCTTATGAGGCTGTGGGAGTTTGACCGGCTCGGGGGGATTGCGTCCGAACAGTTCGATATTAACAGAAACGGGCTGCAGTTTGTGTTTACAATGCTCGGGTTCCTGTGGATGAGCGAAGAGCAGCTTGGCTTCGACCCAGCATTCAAGAGGACACCCAGCGGCCAGCAATTCATCGAGATCAACCGGAATGGCGTGAACGAGCGTCTCATGGTCGATGGAGCAATAATACACCAGCATTGTATAGCTGGCCGAGGGACAACCTGCTGGAAGGCTCATCCTGAAGAGGATCCTCGGACAGTACTTGTCATCAAAGATTCGTGGCAGTTCCCAGAGCGGGACGTAGAAGGCGACCTGCTCCGCAAGGCGACTGAGAAGAAGGTTGTCAATATGGCTCGGTACTATCATCACGAGATTGTTCAGGTAGGCGGTACTAATGATACTATCCGGAGCAATGTGCGCAAGGGGCTGGATATCACCAAAGCTTCCAACTACAAGCCAGACTGGACAGACTTTATGCCGCGCGTAAAAGCGAGAAGTGGCTCGCGGAGAGGCCGCAGCAGCAGCAGCAGCATCGCCGGTATAAAGCGGCTATCTAGCCAGGCTGCCGCCCCTCTACCGAGCAAACAGCCAGCAAGCAGCAGACAGCTGTCCAGCCCAGCTGGCATATTTTTGCCACCATTCAGCCCACCATCCAGCCAGGCCAGCATGCCTCAGCCACCAAGCAGGCAGCCATCCAGCCAAGGCGGCACATCTCTGCCGACCAAACGGCCATCCAGCTATGCCGACGCACTTCCGCCGCCCAACAAACGATCCCGCCTATCGCAATCTCCCAACGAGGCCAGCATGCCTCAGCCACCAAGCAGGCAGCCATCCAGCCAAGGCGGCACATCTCTGCCGACCAAACGGCCATCCAGCTATGCCGACGCACTTCCGCCGCCCAACAAACGATCCCGCCTCTCGCAGAACCCCAATAAGGCCAGCACCACTACCCTGCCGAACCGGGAACACAGGCGTACCATTATCCGTGACTACGGGCAGCCCATCTACAAGGCAAGTTCCCGGGCGAGCCTACTCGCCGGGCTGGAGGGCTGTCTCGCGGGACATGAGTCCCTGTACCGAGCAGGACTACTGCACAGAGACATCTCGATCAATAATCTCATCATCAACGAAGATCCCAGCAATCCGTCCTGGCAGTCGTTTCTGATTGATCTGGACCTTGCCATCGAGATGAAGCGAGATGATACATCGGGCGCGAAGAGCATGACCGGAACCAGGGCTTTTATGGCCATAGGGGCACTCATGGGCGAGCTGCACTCTTTTATGCATGACATTGAGTCCTTTTTCTGGGTTTTGTTTTGGATTTGCATCCACTTCGAGGGGCCGGGCGAGGGGAGAGTTGTTCCCGAGTTTGACAAGTGGAACTTTGTCAATACAGACGAGTTAGCGAAGCTCAAATTGGGTACAATTTCTGACGACGAAATTTTCGACAGGACTGTGATGGGACATTTCACCAAATATCATGAGCCCCTAATCCCTTGGATAAACGAGTTACGGAGGCTAGTGTTCCCAGGGGGTGGGAGGTGGAAAAGGGAAGATGAAGGATTGTACTTATCAATAAAGAGGGTTCTTGATAAGGCTGCAAGGGAGTTACAATAATCAAGGGTTATTCTATCTGATGCGGTGGATGCAGCAAAAGTCCTGTTTCATCGTGCTGGGGTTGAAGTAAGAATGGAGGCAGGCACCATGCCGATAGGCTGCCTACAGGTTCAGGCTGGTTATGTCGAGCGACAGGCTGAGAATGCAGAAGTAGCATTATATTCCTTCTCAGTTAAGCATTCAATAAGCGTCCAGTAACAGCGACAGCATTGCCGTGTGTTCGGTCCCTCCCTAACCCATCAAGCCACAGCTGGCTTGACGCGCAACGCTCTTCAATTCAGCTAAGCCATCTACCCCTGCACTTCGCTGGCAAAGGCCCTGGCAGCCAGAACCAGAAGCACACTCTGATCCTGACGAGCACGGCCAAAGGCATCCTCGTACAGAAGCCACGAGTTGCCCCAGTCACGGCACGCTCGGCTGAGAAGCCCTGAACTGTCCCCTAACCTTCGCATTCATCTGACGAGCATCGCCAAATAGCTTGATTCAGCGCTGTTTACTGTTGATTTTGCCCCCGCGAGACACGCTGGAAGCCTGAGCTAACTATGAGCGCGTCTTCAAAGAACCCAACGCGAACCCCCTCACACCGTACGCGATCGACAGCCGACCTCGCCGCGAGTTTGGGAGCGCAGCTAGATCAAGACCCCGAGCTGTTCTACGGACGGCCCAGAAGCGGAGCCGAGATGGCGTCCCGAGACGATCAAGACGAGAATACTAGTCAGGACAACCCTTTCCAGGCTGGTGACTACCACGGCAACAGCTCGGCACTGCTCCAGTCGCCTGGAGGACGCGAGACAGGCACCCTCGAAGGAGACGACTTGCCTGGAAGTCCTGAAGAACCGGCCCACTTCTCGAACAACAAGGCCTTCAAGAAATACATCCGCTGCATCAAGACGCAGACGAAGGACGCCAAAATCGCTACCCTACACGCGAACCTCCAGATCGAGAAGACCGCCGAGGCAGTGATGCGACTCGGGGAACAGCAGAACGCGATGGGCGAGGCCCAAGCCGCTATAGCGGCTAAACAAAAGGCCCTCGACGTCCAGGTCGGCAGACAGACTGATATGCTGGCCCAGCTGATGCGGCACTTCAAGCTTGGCCCCGAAGCCACCGCTTCGGATATCCGCTTTCAGGCCAGCAATGGCAACTTGCCCCCTGTTGCCGCTGGTCCTTCTCAAGGCCCAACTCCTGCTACTATGGCGGAAGGAGCCCGGCGTCGCACAGTCCGTTACGACGCTGGCGGCGGCGGAGGCGACCCCGACAATTCAGGTGACGATTCGGACGATGAGGGAAGCGGTGGTGGAAACCGTCGCCCCCCAACCAGTCCTCCCGTGCCTAGTCCAGGCAATCCTCGAAACCAGCGTGAGAGCACCCCCTTCTCGAGCCGTTCAGGCACTCAGCACATCGTCAAAATGAAGCGCGAGGAGTTGGGAGTATTCGACCCCGAATACGACGACCCTGAGGATATCGGCATGATTACTGTTGGCAAAGACCTCGTCTTTACTGATGTCTGGTCGTTTCTGGACCGCCTTGAGTCCCTCAAGGATGGCGTCAACGACGACAAGATCGAACACGAGATACTGCGAATGTTCAGCACCTTATTGCAAGGCGCTGCCATCTATTGGTGGACCAACGAGCTGACCAACACAAAGCGCTCTGAACTCCGCCGAGGAGGCTACAGAGTCGTCACCAACCTGCTGGCACAGCGATTCTCTATGGAACCCACACGTGCCACTCGTAAGTTCCGTGAGAACGACATCTGGAGCAAGATGGACGAGCGCATTCAGCACCACCTCGCACCCCCTCGTCGATTTAATACTTTGGACGAATACATGGAGGAAGTCGAGCAAGCCAAGAGTATCCTGGTCAATATCGCCGACAAACGCTATCCTGAGTACTCCAGAGGAAAGGGCAGCCATCGCGGCCATTCGCCAGCCCGCAAATTGAAAGATGGTGCCGATTCTCCTGCAGCTGTTTGGCCTTTCGGGGAGTTGGAAAAAGGGCGGATTGGCTTGAGGAGGCTTCCAGGGGAAGTTTATGTGCTGTTGATTGTGTTGAGGCTGAATTCGACTGGTTCTGGATGCCTGATTGACTGTTCTCGAGGAGAAGGGGGCTCAAAAGTGCTTTTGAGGATCTCAGGAATAATCGCTTGCCTGCGATGAGTCGCCGGGGGTAACCCCCGGCCACCTACTTCCGGCCACCCCGGCCGGCCACACCAAATATACACACACATATATTATATATATCTAATTATCACAAGCGGTGGCCGGGCGGGTGACCGTCACCTGCATGTTGGATGGGTCATAACATCATCTCCCTTCTATCGGTCGTTGCCCTCAACGATCTTCCGTAAGTATCCTGGCAAGCCATTCTTGTGCGTGGTTGTGCCTTCCTAATCCGTCATGTCGAACAGAATCAACAAATCCCGTATTCCCAAGTCTCGTTCTCGAAAAACTGCGGAACGTGACAGCCTTCTTTCTGCTATTCTTCAAAATTCTTTCACCATGCCTTCCTGTTCGTTTTGTGAGGGTCGGGGAATTCCTTCCTGTCAGGTTTCTTCTCTTGATTCTTCTCGTTGCGCTGAATGCGTTCGGCTTAATCGTTCCCGCTGCGACGTGCAGGGCGTCAGTCCTTCGGAATTGCGCAAAATCGCTACTCAACATCGGGAGCTGGAGGATGAGTTGCAAGCTGCTGAGGAGAAGGTTCTCCGGTTGCGCAAATAGAAGAGGATGTGGTTTGAAAAGATGATGCGCGCTGTTCATCGCAGCATTGACAATGTGGAGGAGCTGGATCGTATCGAGGCCGAGGAGGCCGAAGAGGAGCGTCGTCGTGCTGCTGTTGCCGGAGATCCTTCTTTTGAGGGGTTTGATTGGAATTCTGTGGATGTGGGGAATTCTGTGGTGAACTGGTCGGGTTTCCTGGAGAGTGAGATCCCTGAAGCCTCTGGGTCTTGGTTCGGGGCGGAGCGATCGTCCTAGGTGCTGGTTTTTCTTTCCCAATACTCAGCTACCTTTTCCTGAACATTTTCGACGTTTTCCTATGGTTCCCATGAATTCTCGCTTGCTGAGTAATCTTTCCATTTGATGAGGTATTCTTGCGTATTGTCTGTGCCTCTATGCTTGAGGATCTTTTCAATCTCATATTCTAGCTCATTATTCTCTGCTTCCGCTATATTATTCGTAGGTATTTCTTGCGCTGCTGATTCTAGCAGTAAGATGTGAAAAACTGAGTGTATTCTCATTTCATGAGATAGTGCTAACTCATAATTAATTAGGGAAATCTGTTGCAAGATTTTGAATAGTTCTAATTTTTTGTAATCGAGTTTATTGCTAGGTCTGATTGTTTTGATGTTTTTCCAAAGTAGATAAATCTTATTTTCTTTCTGTAGGATTGGTTTTTTAATTCTTTTAAAGTTTGTATATTGTATTATTCGTTTCTGAACAAATTGTAATTCTAATTGGAATTCTTTCTAAGCTTTCTTAATCTTCTTAATTCTTTTATTTATAGCTTCTATATCTGTTTTTAGCAATATCTTATAATAAGCTGTTGAATTATATCTGTAGAATATGAAAAATAGTGATTTCTTTATTATATTTATATCTGCGCTATTATAAGCGAATTATGCAAGAGATAATAGATTAATCTAATTATTCTATTTCTAATTAATATAGTATTGAAGATATTATTCAATAATCTAATTTATTTTTTCTATTTATTTATTTATTTGTAAGTAAAATATTATAAATATCTTGTAATATGCTTTAAGCTGTTTTATAAGCAAAGTTCAGAATTTTGAATTGAACTTTCTGTTTCTATTAAAGATTACTTCTTCTAGCATACTGTTGTGGTGGCCAGGGTGGTAGTCCGTGGGACGTGGAGTACAGTGGGTCAAGGGTTCTCATACATATAAAGGATACCACCCACTTTTCAAATTCTTTAGCTATAAGCAACAATGAAGCATCCTTTCTCTTCTTTTCAATTTTGAACCCTTTGGACAGGTTTAAAACAGGTTTTTCACTCTGTTCTTGCGCCCGTATAGCCTTAGTTTGCTGTTCTCATCTGTATAGGCATGCTTGGATTGCATAAGCTCTTGCTCATTGCTTCAGCAGCTATTTATCCCTTTTTCTTTTAAGAGCGATAGCGCTCTAGTTCTGGTTCAATGATACGGTAAGTGTAGACTTAGCTGTTCAGGCTAGTAGCTCAGAGCTGTTTGTATTATAGTTCGTGAGAATTAGTAAGAACAGCAAGTTTACTTTATAAACGGATGCACTCTTTTTCCCTGCTGAGCTCTTTTATTTTCTTTATCTATTATGCTTATATAACAGGCTGTATATCATATCTGAACTCTGAATTACGCCTGAGATCTCTTGTAGAGAAAAGATAGATGGATAGAAGAGAAGTAGTATAAGTTCTGGTTGTAGGCTGGTGAATAATGCGTTAAGCCTGCAAGCTAATATTACAAAGAAACGAATTCCTTTTTCCAACATTTCTTACATCAATTAACAATCCTATACAGAAGCTAATATAGCTTAGATCTGTATAGGCTGTAGCGGAAAGTTTAACTATATTGGATATAGATTTATAATTAAATTATAAAATGAAATACTTTTAATAAATAGTATTCTGCAGAGAAAAGTAATATGATTAACAAGATCTATACTTCTTGCAATAATTCAATTAGCATGCTTTATCTAAATATGTTTAGCTATATTAATTCTTTGAATCAAAAGCTTGCTAGTTATATTATTCCAAAAGCAAAGAATATAGAAAGATAAAGATGAGAAATTATTAATGCATATAAGGAATAAAAATTAAGAATTATAATAACATCATCTAATATCGAACTTTAATTAATATCTTATATCTGATCAGAAATACTTCTATTGATTAGTAGAACTATTGATAAAGGAAATCTCAGTGCAGCACAGAATAGCTATGTAATGAGCACTGCAGCAATCCGAAGATTCCTAAGTACACGAAGAGTTTATGCTAACAAGAGCAGTGCCAAGTACAGCCTTGAATACGGAAACACAACTGTAGTAACTGTGCAAGTATTCACTGCCTTTGGAGCTATCAGAGTAAGAGAGTAATCTGATACTTAGATTGACAACTGAAGAGCTATGTACTGAATCTATCTGATAGTAATAAGCGTGTGGTTATATATTTGGCTCTTCAGTATGAACTGTAAGAGTTGGT